GGAACTCGACCTGACCACACTGGAGGAGAGGAGAGTTAGGGAAGACTTGATAACGACATACAAAATACTGCAAGGAATAGATAAGGTGGACAGAGACAGGATGTTCCAAAGATGGGACACAGAAACAAAGAGTCACAATTGGAAATTGAAGACTCAGATGAGTCAAAGGGATGTTAGGAAGTATTTCTTCAGTCATAGAGTTGTCAGGAAGTGGAACAGTCTGGCAAGTGATGTAGTGGAGGCAGGAACCATACATAGCTTTAAGATGAGGTATGATAAAGCTCATGGAGCAGGGAGAGAGAGGACCTAGTAGCGTTTAGTAAAGAGGCGGGGCCAGGAGCTGAGTCTCAATCCCTGCAACCACAAATAGGTGAGTACACACTCACACACACACATACACACGAACACAGAAAAGGTATTATTATTATCTCTGGAAGAGAATATTAGCAAAATGTAATATTCCCTATTAATATTTACGCTGGTAATACTGTTTTACACATACGCACACACTCACACACACACACACACACACACACACCACACACACACACACACACATACACACACACACACACACACACACACACACATACACATAACACACACCACACACACACACAACAACACACCACACACACACACATACACACACACACACACACACACACACAACACACACACACACACCCACACACACACACACACACCTACACACCTACACACCTACACACCTACACACCTACAACAGGCCTAGTGTCTAATCGACATGTGCCTAGGACAAAATGGTAACTAACAGAGGGGTGGGTAGATTGCATTTTCTTGGACTGCAAAAAGATTTTTGACACAGTTCCACACAAGAGAGAACCAGGCAGGGAATATAAAGAAGGCACTGCAATTAATCAGAGAACGCCTGACAGGGAGGCAACAACGAGGCATAGTACGTGACGAGGTGTCAGAGTGGGCGCCTGTGACGAGCGGGGTCCCACAGGGGTCAGTCCTAGGACCGGTGCTGTTTCTGGTATATGTAAACGACCTGACGGAAGGAATAGACTCAGAAGTGTCCTTGTTTCCAGAAGATGTGAAGTTAATGCGAAGAATTCAGTCAGACGAGGACCAGGCAGAACTACAAAGGGATCTGGACAGGCTGCAGGATTGGTCCAGAAAATGGTTCCTGGAGTTCAGCCTCACCAAGTGCAAAGTCATGAAGATTGAGGAAGGGCAAAGAAGACCGCTGACGGACTATAGTCTAGGAGGTCAGAGATTGCAAACCTCACTCAAGGAAAAGAATCTTGAGGTGAGTATAACACCGGGCACATCTGAGGAGCACATCAACCAAATAACTGCTGCAGCACATGGGCGCCTAGCAAACCTAAGAACAGCAGTCCGACATTTCAATAAGGAATCATTCAGGACCCTGTACACCGTGTACGTCAGGCCTATATATATTGGACTTTGCGGCACCAGTTTGGAACCCCCACCTAGCCAAGCACGTAAGGAAATTAGAGATAGGGCAAAGGTTTGCAACAAGACTACTCCCGGAGCTAAGGGGTATGTCCTACGAGGAGAGGTTAAGGGAAATCGGCCTGACGACACTGCAGGACAGGATGAATAGGGGGGATATGATAACGACACATAAAATACTGAGAGGAATCGACATCTTGGATAGGGACAGGATGTTCCAGAGATGGGACACAGCAACAAGAGGTCACAGTTGGAAGTCGAACATTCAGATGAATCACATGGATATTAAGAAGTATTTCTTCAGTCACAGAGTTGTCAGAAATGGAATCGTCTCGGTAGTGATGTAGCGGAGGCAGGATCCATACATAGCTTTAAGAAGAGGTATGATAAAGCTCATGGAGAATTGAGAGTGACCTAGTAGCGACCAATGAGGAGGCTGGGCCAGGAGCTGTGCCTGCAACCACAACTAGGTGAGTACAACAATGTGAGTACTTGGCTACTTCGTGTCCTGGGCGAGTCTCCAGTAATGAGCCTCACCCACCCCCAGCCACTACCACTGTTGTTACCTGGTAGCATGTGAAGGAAGCTGGGATGGTGGGAGGTGGGGTGTGTAGAAGGCAAGATGGTAGTGGGGAGTGGGGTGTGTAGCAGGCATGATTGTAG